TCGCTTAAGAAATGGCTGAAGAGGCACAGGTAGGCTTCAGTTTGAGAAGAGCATCCTGCTATGTTTACTCAGGAGATCATTCATTTACCCAGGTGGACAGAAGTCAAAGGTAAACTGGCACATTTGCACAGGACTGGGGTGACAGCGGTGCCAAGAGGCAAAAGGAAGATGAGTCAGACAGTGAGAAACAGCAGGATTAAGCAAGGAGTTCGGACAAAGTTGTGTGAGGTACAGTGGGTGCACAGGAGAACACGGCCTTTTGGAGGAAACCGGTTGAACTCCATGGGGTGGCCACCGGCTCTGACGTGACACAATTGCTTGGGAAGACAAGATATCTGATTGTTTTCCTGGCTTGTGTGTACTGGTTGTGAATGAACCAAGGACAGGCCAACGAGGTAAGAAGCAAGATAAAGCTACCTCACTGAAGGCTGAACGTATGATGAAAAGAATCACGGGAAGATGGCAAATCATTAAGGAACCTTTAATATTGAACCAACGTCAACAAAGAGTGGTTATCTTACCTACTGTAGCTAGCATGGGCAAAACAGAAATGGTTGGGGAGATTTGGGACAATAAGCACCAGAAGGACATTCGGGGGAATATGGAGGGCAGGAATAACAGTGGAGTGAGAGGCACCATCTCACCATCATGCTCAAATGGCTGCAAAGAGCAGGGCAGAGGGAATGTAAAAGACAGGGTGTTAGCAGAGTCATCTGGATTATCGGGTTTTCTGTGAGAGCGGGCTACTGCAAGCCATGAACTGCTGCACATGCAGATATAGAGTCATCCTTCTTGATAGCAGACTAGCCGTTTGAAAGGCCCCTGGGAGCAGAGGCCCAACAAGTCAGGGGCACTGGCTCCTCCGAGGGCGAGAATGAACTGCTGCCAGTGGAAATTCTCCCATTTATAGCAGTTCTGATGTCAGCTGGAGAGGTGACAGGGAAGAAGGTGACAATCGAGGGAGATCTTCAGTGCTTCATGAGGCTTAATGCATAGGAGCTGCTTTACTTTTTAATTTTATGTTAAAATGTTAAATTAATGTGTATATGGTGAAATCCTTCACAAACATTGTGTTTGTTTTGTGCTACTGTCTGACACAGTCCTTCCCTCAGGAAGCATAGAGAGCAGGCTGTTCTGAAACTGAAGTTAGTCCAGATATCAAAAGTAAATTCTGCCCTGGACAATCCCCAGCAGATTCACCCTCTAATTAGTCAGGTTAAGCTCAACTTAAAAATAAAATGTATGCATTCATTTACTTTAAACACATAACTTATTTGAAAGTATTTGAAAGTATTTGATTTGAACAATCATTATTGTTTATAAAAATTAGCTTTTAGTCTAATGAATCATAGACCACCTAAGAGCATCTGCTAATGAAATTGGACATGCAAGGACAAGCAGGTAATTTTACCCTGATTTCCCTGGTTGGGGGTGAAATACCACAGATCAGTGGCCTGATGAAGAAGGAAGTGAGAGGAGGACGGCAGCAGAGACACGGCACTGTGTCCAGCCCATGCTGGCGGCACCTCCCTTTACTGAGACCTCCTACTGGCCTTCCTCCCAGTGCGGACCAGTGACAGATTAGCAGCTGGTATCCACCTGGGCGTCGCTCACCCATCTCACAGGTCTGAGAGGCAAAGCAATTACTCTGCTGGACCGTTAGCCTCACTTCTAAGAGTTCTGAACCATGAAGAATTGTATTATGACTATGATTATTTATAATGTACTGAATTCCGTGACTATGTCATCTCAGGGGACTCATATCTTTCCACAGTTCATCCCCGATATGTTTTAAAGCAATCCAATATAATAACCTTTCTGGTCCAGTTATGGTATCAGTTCCAAGCTAGCCACACCAGCTGTAACATTAAGCATGTGCAGCGACTGCCCACAAGGATTCAATGTCATTTCCCAGGCACTAAAAAGGCATATAAAAGCATAGCCTGAGTGCAAAGAGGCCAAGGGGCCCTTGATCCATGGATTTAATATTCAGCAGAAGCTGGAAAGGGATGCAAAGGAAAAAATAAATCATCAACAAAGTGCTGTATTGAATGCAGAGGGACAGAATGTGTGCAGGAAGGAGGTGTCAGGTGATCCGGCTGGATTAGTGGCCACTCAGTTCATTCAGACATGCAGTAGGTAAAACAAAATGGAGATATAGTATCACATTCAACGTTTTTTTGCTTCTGAGTGTGTGCTTGTGGACTATTCTGAGGGCAGACATGGTTAAATACTGCAGAAGAGAATCAGTCCCTGGCAATGAAATGAGGTTCAGGTCATGAGGTGTCCCTACCACGGTCATCACCCGCTTGTCACCATAGTGACACTATTAGACTGGTCATGTGTAGCCACAGTCTGTGAGCCTGTCTATATGAGCCTGCTGTGATCTGCACTGTATATGACGCAAAGGCTGCCAACACGCTGAGGTTACATAAGGACTAGGCCTCACAGAACCACTGAGTGTGCATCTTACACGTTGCGTATATAAGGGCCCATTCCAGGACTCCCTGTTTGCGCTTTCATTGGCTTTCTGTAACCAATCATATTGATGTCAAGCACTATTACTATTTAATAGTAAGTGTAAATGCAGCTCACAACTGTAATTCTTATTCTTATAACACTAGTATGAAAGCATATTATGAGATTGCGCTTACATCTTTGACAACATCTGCTATACCACTGGACAAGGCTACATCAAATTCACTGTGGCCTATGACAATGAGCGAATGCAGCCACAGCAGTGGGCTTTTACCTCCAGCTTTGTACCTTCTAACCCACATCAGACACCTTTCTGTTACCATATTGATAGACTACAACAACTATTGAGTGATTACCTGACAGCAGCAAGGTGAACATCTATAAGACTGAAGGCACAGTAAGGTTGTGATAACATTATTTTGTCCTACGCAAAGATTTAAGACACTTACAATTTATTCATTTGCACATCTCAGTATATCTCTGGAGTCAGCTATTATGAAGTGAGATATTATCAGGTGTAATAACAGTGTATTGTTTTCCTGATAAAACACCTATATAATATCATTTCTCGGATTAAGTTCCATAATACATTTGTTTGGCTGCATTCCGACATTGGTGGACACCGCCAGGCATCCTACATGTTAAATCTGTCTTTAAATTCATTTATATTTACAGATCCTTTGTTGGGCAGTTGCTATAAATGCAAGCATCTACAGCAATGTGTCATAATTACTGCTAATTTTACTTTGTTTATCGTCTGATAGAAAACCCATTGGAACGTCTCCTCCGATCGATTCTGCTGCAGTCAGGCTGCTCTTCTTACACACAATTTTCTACAGAAGAAACCTGTCAGCTGCAAAAGTGATGCACTATTTTATTTTTGCCTACTGTGATCATGGTGGCACCCAGCAGGCCTTGCAGGAGACACCTAAGCGGAAACGGGAGGAACGTACAGCCAAGTTGGTTAGAACTGGCTGTTCCATTGCCCCAAAAATTATGTATATCTAAATATTCCTGGAAAGACATCAGAGTCCAGCCCAGAGGCTTTAAAATTTCTCAGATGAGTTTCTGGCTCTTTGGACCCCACCGAGCACAGCTAAATGAGCAAAAATGGCAGCTTTGATCTGAGTAGGTGTTACCAGCAAAGCCCACTGCAGGTAATATGTCCGAGCGTATCACATACATATTCATCCAGCTTGACCCAGCAAGCTGCATCAGACACGCTACACACTACTGGGAACAGAAACTACACGCCGTCGGTTTCGAGCACGCACCCAAAACACAAAAAACTATATGGCGTCGGTTTCGAGCACGCACCCAAAACACAGGAACTACACGCTGTCGGTTTCAAACACGCACCCAAAACACAGAAACTACACGGCATCAGTTTCGAACACACACCCAAAACACAGGAACTACACGGCGTTGGTTTTCAGTTTCGAACACGCACCCAAAACACAAAAAACTATATGGCGTCGGTTTCGAGCACACACCCAAAACACAGGAACTACACGGCGTCGGTTTCAAACACGCACCCAAAACACAGGAACTACACGGCATCAGTTTCGAACACGCACCCAAAACACAGGAACTACACGGCGTTGGTTTTCAGTTTCGAACACGCACCCAAAACACAGAAACTTCACGGCGTTGGTTTTCGAACACACACCCAAAACACAGAAACTTCACGGCGTTGGTTTTCGAACACACACCCAAAACACACTAAAACCTGAACAGATTATTCTCATGTCCTTAAAGCTAAGCATTATTATTATTAATTATTATTATTATTATTAGTTGCAGTAGTCAATATAACATAAATAAAGACAATATGCATTACTGAGCAAGTATTTATATTTCAACCATCTGTCTACATTTTAATAATATATTATTTAATAATATAACATTTTAATAGCATTCTACCTACTGTACAAAAAAATAGAAAGAGTGCCCTTAAAGTGCCTGTTTTTTCTCTTCTTTAAAGCAAAACAAAGTAGCGGCGTAAACAGTATTTCACATCCACTTGCAGCAACACTGAACAAACAAAACACATCATTGTTTTGCTTCATTTGAAAAGGGATTTGAGCACAATATAAACGCAAGGCAAAGAACGTTTTATTATTACAGTATTACTTATTATTTGCGACAACACAGCATAAGAATGCGTGCATTATTCAAACTGTAAATCAGGAGATCAGACTGAGAAGACAAGCTGTGTTTCATACTCGGGATTTTAAAGACTTCCAGTACGAACTTCCCCAACTTGTAAACATCTGTTTATGCGGCCTTTTAGCGAGGCCACAACGAACTTATCTCCGAGCAAACTGTTGCCGAGCAACGAGAAGCAGCTGCACGGCACCAGTGAGCACACAATATTCTGCTGACGGAAAGGAACGAGAAAGCGGCCTCTCACCTGGTCCTGCTTTGTGGAGGAGAGTTTGCCAGCTCCGCATGACTGGCACGTAGGCCGCGGCTCTCTCCAGTTAGGGCAAAACAAAAAAAAAGACAGAATGGAAGGATACGACCTGGAAGCACTGGTTTTCGGTTTACCAGCGCAAAAGATAATTCCGTCCTTAGAAACACTGCCGATGCCTTGATAAGGTGTTGGCCGAAACGTAATGCAGACATGTCTGTAGCAGCAGACCTGAAACAGATGAGAAGATCATTGTAAACATTATTCATTCTCATTTAAAGACATGACACTGCAAAACCTTGCTCATTAAACCAAAAGTAGCGCAATGCTTTATCTCATTGTTATTTACCAGACTCTCATCTAAATGTCTATTACATGTACAAGTAAGTACATAGGATACAACAGCTATGATAAGGTCACCTGCAATCTGAGCCCTAATATAACGCGGCCGCAAGTCTGCAAGACTATCCCCAGTCTTCTTGCAAGATATTACAACATGCTGCCATCATTGATGCATTTCAAGCAAATCCATACATAATGAATCAAACCAGTGTCTCTCATACATTCACACTAAGGCCAGACTGACCTCATTCGTTTGGAGAGAACACGCTCTTTCATTGGACCATGTAACAGATAGCTAAGAAATATCCAAGATCAGATCACATTGCATGCGCTGTTACACTGAGGGGCTCCATCAAAGCAGAGCTGATTAGCTCCTGCTGCCATCGGCCGTTTTAATAGTGTTTTCTGGTAGAAGGTTTTATTGACCCTTTTTGAGGATAAAATGAAAGTTGGTGTTTTAATATGTTTTAATACTGTAGGTCATATTATCAGGATGGGCTTTGCTCAGAGGAGTGTTGTAGAAGTTATATGGGAATTTCAACACAATTTCATGATTCTTTATAAAATGAATAATGAGTAATAATAATAAGTAATGGGCACTTTTAACTTGCTGTTATAAAATTAAAAAAATCCATGTTTATTTTCTTGACAGACTAAAAACAATGAGAAATATAAATGGCATTTTTGTACCCCATGTTGTATATGATAATATTATTTCCCAGTTCCAGCTGTGAGGAGCGCATAAACAATTACTTTGAACCATGGAGTGATGTATTATTATTATTATTATTATTATTATTATTATTATTATTATTATTATTGTTGTTGTTGTTGTTGTCGCTGTTGTTGGGTAGTCATGGTGATGAACAATTGATTTACGATATTTTAAAATCATTTTAATATAATAATCAACTCTCAGGACATACTGTACAATGCTAAATGTATTCTATGTGGGAAACAAAAAACATCTTTTTACGTTTAAAATGTGCTCTATCCAGAAACTCAGAAATACCATTCAGTGAGCCGTACCAGTAAGCTTTTCCAATACCTGCCATTGTTCCATTTGTTCAGTTTTTAATACAGCAGCCTCTGTAATCAGCAATCACCTCACATTCCACGAGGCCACCCTGTTCTGTCATGCCATGCCTTTGCATGTGTGTACATCACAGCATTCATCAACATGCTGTACCGTCTGCCGAATTTTACATTCGCTTCGCTCTTTCCCTCTACTGTGCATATGTGTCTTTTTCACAGCGTTTAGCAGAAAAGGTTTGGCTTCTTGGTTTGCCATCCTCCCTTCTGTGCCAAGAGCTTCACCCGCACTGCAGGACGTGTATCGCGTGCTCGTAAGCCGTCCCTGCAAGCAGGACTGGGTCACCTTCAGTCGCCTCCATCTGTCCTCCATATGAATACCCATTTTACACACACATGCAAACATGTTTACACGGCTTCACCAAGCCTCTTAGGAGCCTTAACTAATGCTGTGTTTCAGGTCCTCATATTTTTCTCACCCTGGTTTTTCACTCCGTTGGAAAAAAACATGGTTTGTGAACACCAGTGTGTAAATTTGAATTAAATTAACTTTGACTGATTTAAAATCATAAAATAACCTAGACCTAATGGTGCTCTTTTTCTGTAATAAAGATTAAATTTGTTCTGTCTTTCTACTGAATTTTTCTGTAATGCATTTCCTTTTCAGCCTAAGATGAGGAATATATGAGGCTTAGTGCAGTGTTTACCACATCAACAGGTTCTTCATAAAGACAGTCTTTCACATACACATTTCAGATACATCGAATCAATAAGATCTCATGTACGATCTCCACGGAGCCATCCCATTTCTCATCCACAGAGATGGACATCAGGCTCTACTCTCCAAAAGTCAGCATGACCCTCATACAAATGAATGTTACATAGACGAAAAAAAGACGCAAAAAATAAATAAATAAGAGCAGTGTTTACATTACATTGGCAGTTTAACTTCGAAGAGGCAGCTAAAAAGTTTTGTCATCATTTATAACAATTATAAGCTTTTATATTAGCAAATATACTTTTAAAGGTGACATAACAGTAGAAGTAAATTCATCTTTCTTACAACCACAAATAAAGGACATGGAACAAACAAAGTAATTGCCAGAACTCGCAGGGAAAAAGGCATATCCTCTTAAAACTGTAAATTGGCATATTATCATGACCAATTCCCGTTGATTTAATTGCACATAATGACTCTGAGAAGGTTTTGTGAATGAATTATCATAATGGAGTTAAATCAGGCCTAAACGATTACATGGGCCCTGTTCCTGCGGCTCGTCAGCCCAGGTGAAAGCGGAGTCGAGCTGAAGCCTGCCGATAATGAGGTTACATTTCCTCTTCGTTCCTCCGCCACATTCAAAGCGCCTCCACCCTAACAATGTGCCGACACGGTTACTTTGGTGCGCATGCAGTGTGGAAACCTGACTGGATTTGGATGCAGTCCCGGGAGAGCCCTTTAAAATAAATAAATAAAATCGAACGCGCCAGAGCCAGCTGTCACCGGCATTAACATTCCAATCGGAATCCAGCAATTCTACAATTAACAATTAGAATACTGCAATTAGTTTACTGTGCATTGTGATGACCCAATAAATGTTCACTGTGCCCTTGTTATCAGATCAAATTTAATAAATGTTAGTAATTTAAGCCCCTCAAACTGAAGTAACCACTCCTTCAACCAAAACGCCATCTCCATTAACACGGATGTATGTACACGCATGTATGCAGTGAATCAGTCATTCCCCAAGTACTGGAAAACAGTTTTTGATGCCTGTTTACTGCAGCTAAGGTCTGTTCTGCTTTCCACACTCTACGTGCTATTTTCACGGAGGTCGCATGTTGAATCCTTATCTTTAACCTTGGGTTCACTGACTGAAGCGTGAATATGTAGCTGTTGAGATGCGACAGTGTGCTGTCTGGGCCTGATGAGGCCTCTCCCTTCACAGGATAGGGTCGACACGTACACCTGAACGCCGGGAAGGGGAGGGGCGTCTCAGGCAGCTGGAGACGCAGTCGCGAGGGGCAACAAAACCGGGCAAGGCAGAGCTGACTATTCAATGACATAAAGAACCTGCATTCGCATTCTACACTGATTGACATTTATATTATAATATGAAACTCATACATTCAAAACTTTGAAATCTGATGCAAAGAAAATTCAATCACTTCACACGGCAATGCAGATATAAAGCCAGAGAAATGGCTTGCATATAAAATAGCAACCAGAGCAATATTTCCACCCCTTCCTCCAGTGCTAGTGAAAATCACTTATTTAGAGAAATGATAAAAGCAGATTTTCATTAAGAGAAGAAAAAAACACAATAAAAGAAGGCAGGAGATGATCCTATATTTCACACTGATGTTTATGTTGCATTCGACTAAATTCCATTTGCTGTTCCTCTCTCATGGCTGTGACCCCAATTCATTAGGCACATATTGCTCATACACTACGGTCATCCTGGCTAGTAACAATCCTCCCAAATCTAATAGGCCTGACCCACGATATGGGTCATTTAATTCACTGATGACATGTTACATACATCCTGCAAGGAAAAGTCGGACACTTTTGCTTGTAATCACTTAATGCAAACACACACACACACATCTCTAACATTCCCACTTGGCTATTGTTTAATCCATCCAGGTTAGCCCAGTGGAGGGGGCTGCAAACTCAATCACTGTAAGCTATTCCTGTACACATTGGGTTTCTAAATAGGTATTGATTAAAATGGGCGTATTGGCCAAATTGCTTTCAGGTGCTCATATGAATAGCCCCAAATGGCACTGGGCCTCGTGATTTAGGCTGCACGCTGAACGGATAAGGATTAGCATTTCACAGCAACACTGATGGGCGGACAAGGTGTGAGCGTGTCAGAAAAGTGCTAATTTGATTGCGATGAAATTGTTTCGTTGATGTAATGAGAACGTGTGATTGGAGTTTGTGTCATCATTTGCTGCACTGTATCTCTCTCGTTCTTGTGCTCGCAGATAGACCCTTAGCCATCAGTTCCAACGATGAAATTCAATTATGATTCCTGGTTTTATCTTATTAACTGATCACAGGGTAATTAGCTATCTGTGGCCTTGCGAAGAGGTGGCCATTTTTCTGTTTACCTCCTCACATTAGAAATAGATGCTTCTGTGTATATAATCATAATACATTAGAAAACTTTGGAAAGTAGATGTTTTGAAGAATCTCATAGAAAAATCACATTTAATTATATTTTATGAAAAAGATGCTTCAAAGTATGTAAAATCTAGGGTGCTAATAGTTATGTAAAAATGTTGTCACTACTTTAACATGCCAGTAGGGATACTGAAATTCCAACTTAAACTGTACATATGTCTTCAGCAAATTCCACAATATGCCATTTCATTAGGAATTGACCAGTTTTTGACAACCATTTAACATCAATATTTTTAGTACGCTGCTTTTGTCCCTGTTATACTATGATTCTGTATTTCAACAGCATTCTGAGAACATCTGCAGAACATACTCATTTAGTCTTTGCTGAATTGTGATATTTATATAGCAAGATTACATGATATCTAATTGAAACGTCCAAAGACATGCCATTAAACTGATGTCGCAATTGCGCATAATGCCCTGTGATGGACTGGCATCCCGTCCAGGGTGTACCCCAGCCCTGTGCCCTGTGATGGACTGGCATCCC